GGTTTTCATTTATTCCCAAGAACTAAAGATAAAATTCGAGGTATTCGCTTTACGAGCCCTGAAGATGTGGTGAAAGCGTACGAAAATAGAAGAGACCCCTATGGAAAAATGGGCCCACTGCTTTTCTCAGTGGTTCCATCGAATGCGACGATGTGTAGAGAGGAACGGAGATTACATCGAAAAACAATAAAAGTATTGGCTAATAATTTTCAGTGTTACCTAGGTTTCATTGAATTTGGATAATTGTCCAAACTGAGTGACCAATGCATTTTCAATTGTGTCTATCATTGGGAAAAAGATGTTAATTTTAAACAGTTCTTCCGGATCTGTTGGTGTTTCATCTGCAGTTTCAAACTCAAATAATCGCTTCTTTCTTCGGGATCGGACTGGCTTAAACGTCGGATCTATGCCTGCCTCAGAAGCTATTTCCTTAGCTGTTATTTGAGCAGACGAATAAGTCCGGTATTGCTTCACAAATTCCGAGCAGTTTTTCAGCAATTGCGATGCGTTTGATAAAACCATAGTTTCGGACTGCATAGCTTTACTTACAATGTTTACTTGAAACAGTATATCATACCAAGCCACCAATGTAACTAAGAATTCAAATTGCTTTATATTCTGAATCAGTGACAAAGCCTCTGATGCAGCAACTGAATCATTCGTTTCTTCGTGAAGATTCAAAAGAGCATCACGAACTGAACAGTAATTGTAGCGAACAGAAGCAAGGCTAGAAACTCTACTCTCCCAACGAGTTTCGCAAACTTTTTTCAGTGATAGTCCTTCTGTATGTTTGGATATGACTTCCCACCTCTTTGTTGATCCAGAAAATAATACAAACAGTCTTTGGAGAAATCCAAATAAAGAGACCGATTTACCGGGTGATTTAGCTGCATCTGCTACCACCAAATTCAAGCTGTGACAGCCATATGGGTTAAAAAATGCTCGAGGATATTGGTTTAGAATTTTTGTTTGGACACCTTTGTTTATTCCTACCATGTTGGCGCCATTATCGTACCCTTGACCTCGACAATCCAAGTCAACTTCATGCACAATTTCATCAAGAAAAAGGCCAGTGTGCTTGTAAGTAACGAAACACTTTCGTACTTTCACTTCTTCTCCATTTGTGTCAACAAAACGGAAAGTTATTGATTGATAATTGTTCATCAGAAGTGCAGTCCAGTATGATAGAGAAGTATTTGGATGACTTAACCAAGTCAAAAAAAAAATCAAAATTGTATTTCGAACTTTACTTCCAAATAAGCCAATTAACCCGTTTCCCTCACCGCCTCCCCGTTCGTCGCTCGTCACTACTCGCCGGGCAACAATACGATTTGCTTGCGGGTAGGTGATGAAATGAAATGAAATGAAAAGTCATTTATTCAGTCTAGGCTGTTACAAGCACTTGTGAAAGTCAAGAAGCTACGCCATCGGTTCGCAAAACTACGGCGGGAGACCTTGTACTGAGAAGAACCGGCAAGAAACTCAGCAAGGGCTGCTTTTTTCTCCCTGTATTGATATATACAGAGTCGTCAAGTTGAAAAATGACTTCAGACATACTTCTGAAGTCACCTTCCATTACATTATTTAGGGTATAGATATATAGTTACAATCGATCGGTCGATCGGTACCTAATCGGGCGTCCCGCCGTTTTCGGCGCCCCCCATCACGGCGCCCGATGCGGTCGCACCGCTCGCACCGCCCTAGGGCCGCCCCTAGCGATATGCCCAAACTCAAACCTATTAGAATCATAGAAAAGTATCGCTGAGTTTAAAAATGCGCAGACCTCCAAGCGTGCCCCGAAGTTATTGCAAAATTTCGGAATTAATTTATTGAGTGCTCGCTGCAATTAATTAATTTATAGATTCTAACGTGCTCTTACTCGGAGAAATTCTCCGAATAAGAGCACGTTAGTAGTTTTTAATGATTGGAACTCGCAACAACAACAAATAAAACTCGTAATCAGTCCTCTTGTTTTCTAATTGTTTTGGTTTTATTACGCTCCGAGCAAAAGGCTTTGCTTTTATTTGCCTACATGAGTTGTTAGGTAGTTTACACGTTAATAGTATCAGAGTTGTAAAACAAAGACCAATTTGTAGTTTCTGTGAAATTCGCATTAAACAAAATAAATGTATTTTTCATCCCACCACCTCGGAAAGTGTAATTTTGCGCTTCGAAATCTGGCTGGAAAATTCTATTTTATTCGCTTGAGCGGCAAAGTAGATTTGAATTTCGAACATCACATATAATGAGTACTCAATATAATTGTAAATTCAAAACGTCATTAAACCTATTTAATGTAACCTCTATGGTGCCAAATTTATGATTAGAACTTTTTAAATTGTGAAAAAATTTAAATTTGGAACCTTCTTGGTTTCTTTGTTTTATTTGCGTGCTTCGCGCCATTCTAGTTTTTCACGTTTTATTGCTTAATATAATTAACATAACCTAAAAACTGTACAAAAAAATCAACTAAAATGAGTGACATTAGCGACGATGAAGTTTATCTAACGCCAACTGAGTTAACTGAAACAGTTAATAATGCGCAAATGAGCCTTCTCCCTCAGCAATCACGAGAGAAGTATTTGAAACAGTACGATATATTTAACATGTGGCGACTAGCTAAAGGAGCAAAAACTTTCTCCGAAAACGTTTTGCTGGCATATTTTATAGAATTATCTGAGACCAAGAAAGCAAGCACGCTATGGAGTACGTATTCAATGCTAAAATTAACAATTAAGATGAAGAAAGACGTTCATATCGACACCTATCATAAATTAGTGGCATTTTTAAAAAGAGCCTCATCTGGTTATAAACCAAAAAAATCGAAGGTTTTCACAGCATCTGAAATTGCAAAGTTTATTAATGAAGCACCTGATTCCGTATATTTAGCGGCAAAAGTAAGTCAATACGTGTAATTTTTTGTTGTTGATAAAATTGTACATAGTACTTACAATATTTTTAATTTGATTAATTTATTTACGATTATAAATACTTCTTTTGTTACAGGTTGTTCTTATTATTGGTATAACCGGAGCATGTCGAACAAATGAACTTACACTACTTAATGTCAATAACGTATCAAAATATTCTCATAATTCTGATGAATTGCTATTAATTAATGTACTAAATACCAAGACAAAAAAAGACCGCAACTTCGTTATTCGCAAGGAATATGTAAACATTGTTCAGAAATATCAAGCTTTACGTCCTTCTAACACCCCAATTGAACGATTTTTTCTACAATATCGCAACGGAAAGTGTATCCGACAACCTATGGGTCAGAATAAAATTGGCAGTATTCCACGAGAAATAGCAACTTTTCTCGGACTTTTAGAACCCCCGTTATACACCGGTCACTGTTTTAGAAGAACCTCAGCCACACTTTTGGCCGAATCAGGGGCTGATCTTCTATCGCTTAAGCGCCATGGAGGCTGGAAGTCTAATTCGGTTGTAGAGGGATACATAGAGGATTCAATCCAAAGTAAATCAAAAATTTGTAATAGTATCGTGGAGGCCATAACGCTGAAAGAACCTCTGTCAGATTCTTGGTCTCGCCCTTCTACATCTAAAATGAGCCCCCATAAGATTGGAAACAATAGCCCTCTCTCGCCAACATTTACGCCAATAGAATCCAATGAATCGGCACAACTATTTAAAATTACTGATACGAGTAATTTACCACAAAACAGCGCACAATTCACAAACACCAACATAACATTACCTAACAAAAATATTAAACTTAACATAAGTAACTGTAGCAACGTTACATTTAATATTTCTTAATTATTTTCTACTTCTTATTATTTTCTTCAATTTATAGATTATCTTAATGTGTTTTAATTGAAATAAAAATATTTTGTCATTATAAATTGTTTTCTTTTTCATTTTGTCATTTCCTCGCTGAGGTGGGATGAAAAGTTACGTATTGCACTCGAGTGGAAAGATTTTTCACCTTGTGCTCGTTTGTTTCCCTCGCTGACGCTCAGGATTCTAATTTAGAATCACTCGCTGCGCTCGTGATTCAACTTTAGAATCCTTCGCTTGCTCGGTCATCCAAATCGAGCACGCGGTTAAAAAGGAACTTTCCACTCTTGTATAATAAATAACTATTGCTATATGTATTAACGTGGTGCTAGTATTCTAAAATTCATGATTGTATTAAAATTAGAAAGTATAAGCAAAAAACTCCCACGCTGCATTTGTATAATTTCAAAAATGATACATAGCATGTATTATTTATTTAATTGCATTGTCACTAAAAGGGCAGTGTGGGTGTCATAAATATACTCGTTACACATTTTAATATTAGTGAGATTAATAGGTAAAGCGCATTTTTGGAATTTAATGACTTTCATACCATTACTCGAATAGATATTTGAAATAGGACTTATAACTTCAATTTACAACCCAATTTCTTTCATTTCCCTTTCGAAAACCGACTTTTCGGGTAGATTTATAAATCACGTGTAAGGACAACTGGTGAGAAAACCATCTGGCATTTTTTTTATATTTATTTATAAAATGCGTCCACCGTCCGTCCATTATGTCTGCCATTTGCTGTTTTTTGCAATAAATTGTAAATACCGTTATTAGCGAGATACTGTACTGATATTAGCGAGATTATAAACAGTCGAGCCATAGTGAACCGTAACATACTGCTTACAATTAAACGCAAATATATTTCGGTAGACCTAAGATTATAAAATCTAGCGAAGTGAAACTGTTAAATTACTATCTGCCACGCATTAAATTGTCAACTGTCCAAAAGTAAACGCCGTTCAAGTTCAACTAATCAGCGCGCAAGATGCGTTCCGCCGCATGCCAATTCGCAATTTACCTGCGTAACTTGGATAGATTATAATCTATCCAAAAATAATGCGTTAAATTGCAAGCAGTTTATTACATTTCACAGGTTTTCGACAGTTTACAATCCTGCGAGATAAATTATAATGTAGCGGTAATTACAATATAACGGTGACATGTATAAATTGTGTACACAGATTTGAGACACCATTGATCCTGACAATAAACACACCTAAGGCAAACTCAGCAGTGCAGCAGTTGTTCAACAGCGGTAGACCGCCACCCCCAGCCATAGAACCTCAACTAATCACATCGGAAACCCTGAGGTAAAGTTGATTGTAGCCATATAGTTCTACCGTTTGCACTATATTATTATTCCTTGTCGTGTTATTATTACTTTTATCTCTAAACCTCTTTAAAAAAATCTGAAAATGTCGGCTTTTTGCCAACATTAAAACATCCAATGTCCTATTTATTAAAAAAAATCATTATAACACCCGTTTTGATTGTACTAAATTTCATAATAAATAGAAGTGAGCGTTTAAACGTAAAGCAAATAAAAAAACGACGGGTTGCACTCCGGGAGTGCCGGCAGAAATGAAAACTTGAATATTAACGTTGTGCATTTTTGATATTTTGGAATGGTTAGGGAATGGTTAGGGAATAATTTTGCACGAATTGCTTTAATTATCAGTATAAAAGTATTATCATGCATGTGGTAGAATACAATATTTATTTATTGCGCTATCGTACACAAACATGACAATTTAAATTACATCAAAAAAGTTTATCTCTCAGCAAAATCAACTTACATGAATCACGTTTAAGCGCACTTAGCGACATCTATTGTAAAGAAATCAACTTACATGAATCACATTTAAGCGCACCTAGCGACATCTTTTGTAAAAAATGCATTTTCTTCGCAATAAAGCTGCCACGTGGACATCCTAGATAGAGACTTATTATTATAATACGATAAAATAAAATATTACTATGTTTCGTCCAATATATTGAAAGTCAACAACCTTTCCAATTTTATTGTGTGTCATGATGCGATCAGCCCACGTGTTTAGCCTGACGTGAGTTTAACAATTTTTACCCATACAAAAAAAGTGTACAACGCCGCTAAAGAAGTCAAACTAAACGAAAGTCAAATTAAACTTCAAAAAGTCTGTTTTTTAATAAAATCACAATAGCATGCTTATAAATTGATAAACAGCACGCTTTTTGCTTAGTCTCGCCCTCTATCTATTTGTCCGTACAAAATTACTTCGGTTCGGTAATAAAGCATGCTTTGACTGTCGCGCCATTGCTTTGACTATGTTTTACTATAAAATTACTTCGAGTTCGGTATTATAGGAAACCTATGCTGCTTAACGACAAAAAAACATTCCTTGGTATTCATTTCGTTTATAAGCGCAAACGACTGTAAAAAGCAAAAGCAAATTAAGTAATAAGCAGTACGCTTTTAAACGTCAAGAGCTTTCGTTTTTCTCATCGCTAATAATCACAATCCTTCGTTTTTCGATCCCTTCCGCGCAAAGGGTTAACTCATCAGACAGCCACATTCTGAATTTCAAAAAATCAACATTGTCGTTCACGCGCCGTTCACTACCACAGGACCGTGAAAAAAGTTATAGGTTATTCGATTTTCGAATTCCCGACATATTCCTTCGATATTAGTTTTGTAAAAATTTACTTGTGTTGTTTTGGTAATGAAAATGAGCAATTCAAGTTTTCATAACATATCACCTATTATATATGATAAACATATAAACAGTATGAAAAGGCGTACCATAGGGCATGGTTCAAAGGAGATGGAAAACGGTGGGCCCAACAAATGTAATAAGTTGATGTGAATATGAAAAATCACTTCAATTCTCGATCTGTAAGCGGAGAAATATGAGAAAGAAAGTTTCGTGAAATTATTGATTCAGTAATCGATCACACTGTTACGAAAATAAAACTCTTGCACTAAACAATTAACTCAAAGTAATTAAATGCAATATATATACACTTATATGCAATATTGTGCATACAATTACAGTCATATTAATACATCAAAATAATAACAAGTAATTACTGAAAAACCGATATTAATCTATTCTATTATGTTGATTCTAATCTCTATTAGGTATATGTCACTGATATGACAGCTGACTGACATTGACACTAGACAGTTGCTGATTGTTCTTGTTTGCTCAGTCGTTCCGTGTTTTCCGATGCGTTTTGAGTGCTTTCCCGATTATTCGTCATTTTTCACGACCACTGCTATGTATTTTACGGATTCTGACCCTTCCTACACCACCGAAGGACACCGAGGATCGCTCACACGTTTGACTTGGAATTGTTATTTTGGATTTTACCGCCGGCTTGTGGATTGGATATTATTCAAACTATGGATCGCTATGTGAATTTTGGGATATCCACTGGTCACAGCAGTACACTGGGCTGACGACCCTTACACGATGAAACAATTCTGTCCGTGATTCGGCAATGGCTTGCACCTCAGTCTGTAAGTAAATATAACCTCATCTAACCAACTATGTATTATCCTGGCAGGTTTAAAATACATATAATTAGAAGGCCCAAGGAGATTGTTTACAGTTATGGCAAAGAATTATTTTTTATCAAACCATGTTATAATACCCAATAGTTAATTAGTATTGTTTATGTAGCTGAAGATTAATAAAAATGTTCCATTTTTAGGTAAGCAGTAGTGACTGTGTTTGTCAAGCGTGATGGGACTTGGCTCAAAGCCCACATGTCGATGACCAAAGAAGACCACTAGGCCACCGTAATGTTTGCTGTCTTGCATCGCGAACCCATCACCTACTTCATACTTCATATTAACGATTTCTAGACGACATTTTAATTATAATAGTAGACGAATCAAACACTACATTAAATGATTTTTTATTTTATTTTAGACATCTTTTCCCTATCTCCTTATCTGTTATCTACCTATTGCTTGAAGTCGTTGACGTTCATTCATATGATTTTTCAAACATGTTCTAGTAAATATAATAACTATTAGTGCAAAAGAACACATTTTGCACTTCATGAATGAGCTGTTAGTTAAAGATTGTAACATAACCTCACTTTTACTTAATCTCTTATATCTCTGTTCTCAGATTGACAAAAGCCGCAGAATTCAGTGTAAGGTTGATATTATTAAATGACACCACTTTCATCTTCTTACACCTGGGCCCAAGACTGTATGAAATGGTTTCCTTTGTATGGAAGGTGATAGTTAGTCTCCGGCAGACTCAAATTGTTATGACATTATTGTAAATCGTTTGACAAAAACTAGAATTTATTTTCCCAGTTTTTTTTTTAATAATTATTATTATATAAAAAATATAATTATTAATTGGGAAATGGAAAGTTTATTTATCATTTTTTAGGGTTTCGTACTTCAAAAGGAAAAAACTGAACCCTTTGTCCGTCCGTCTGTCAAGACCTATTTTCTCAGGAACGAATGGAGGTATCAAACTGAAATTCATATCTAATACTCATGTCTACTGTCCCTTGGAGCTGTGAAAAAACCCATTAGATATTTAAGATTGGATAATTTTATTCAATAATTTCATCATCATCATCATCAGCCTATTAATGTCCCCACTGGCAAGGCACAGGCCTTCCCTATGGATGGAATAGGGAGATTGGGCCATGACCCACCACGCGGACCTAGTGCTGATTGGCGGGTGCTAACGACTGCAAATGCATCCGGGACCAACGGCTTAATGTGCCTTCCGAAGCACGGAGGAACTCGGGAGAGAAGATTTTTGGTATTCCATCCAATGACCCACCACTGCGAATGTTGCTTAACTTCAACGATCGCAGCCGAACGCGCCAACCACCCGCGCCATCGAGCTCTGCTCCTAGATTTTATCTACGTTTATAATAATTCATCAAAATTGCTTCTCCCCCCATTCCCGCAGTCTACTCCTGCATAGTACACCGCGCTATCACTTTGCAATCGTTTGTAACTTTTTGAATATTTGTCGAAATGACATAGTATAAAAAGCAAAGTTTATCGTCTTGTTACTATAAAAAAACAATTTGTTAATACAAAATGTGCATTTTGGAAATGGATATCATATAATATTTTAATTTTATACACTATTTTAGCAATAATGGCTTACACACGAAAAATAGATATATGCTGTCGCGGAATTTTTGGAGGACTATTTAAGATACATATTTCTACTATACGATATATTCATGTAACTTTTATTGTTTCTGCAGTGCAGGCCAAAATGGCTCGCAGAAGGGAGATTTTTTTCCGTCTTACTTGACACTTATTGCTATATTTTGGCCAATTCACTCACTGTTGTCGATACTGATATGATTATCTAAACCTAAACTTAAATTTGAGAACAGTGTATCCTTGTCATTCTCTATAAAGATGATTTGAATCGACACGTATTAGCTATTTATTGTTAAGTTTTATTAAAATCCATTCAGTATTTTTTGAGTTAAAGAGTTTAAAATATCCGTACAAACGTAAGCTTGAAATTAAAAGAACAAGTGGTTAATATACAACTTAAATCGTTGTAGATCTTAAACAGTCATATAAAATGAAAAATGGTAAATGGAACCTAACCATGATTTTCGATTATCTAGACAATGATACAACGCCCGTCATATTTTGTCAACTTATTTTTTTTACTTCGTCACAATATGGCGCCTAATTGTCCCCATATTTAAATTTGATTTCATATCTTTAGTAGCACTCCCATGATTAAGACGAATCGATTGACGTATGATTCATCAAAATCGGTGCACGCGTTTGGTCTCTAGTGTGCCACAAAGGAACATACATACATATATAGACTGTTAAACACTACCCTATCACCGCGTCGCAGTTCGCGCTCTTGCATTGCGCAGTCGGGTAATAAATAAAATAGGTCGGTTGTATATATAACTATTCATTCACCGTGATTTAGTTAAAAGCAACTATTGTTATTTAAAAAAATCTAAAATACTTATTTGATTAACTAATAGGTATCCCCTAGGCGATCATGCAGCCACAACATGCATTTATGTATGCTCTTTCGCAGGTTCTGCAATGGTTTAGTGTAAATAATCTTAAGCTAAATGCTAATTATTTTATTTTATCGTATTATAATAATAAGTCTCTATCTAGGACGTCCAGGTGGCAGCTTTATTGCGAAGAAAATGCATTTTTTTACAATAGATGTCACTAGGTGCGCTTAAATGTGATTTATGTAAGTTGATTTTTCTGAGAGATAAACTTTGTAATGTATCATAATAAGCGCAATAAAATTTATTGTACTTTTATACTGATAATTAAAGCAAT